ATTTTTCTTTTTAGGATGCATGCCAGGCATATTCCTGCCTTAAGGTTTCTAACTGCAGCTCACTCTTGAGCCTGTATTTCCTCAAATACTGCATGGCTTGTTTCCTCACACAGAAAAAGATTACCACTGAGATACTCTTGGCTCCCTAATTTCTCTAACATCTTTGGGTCTCATGGGTCACTGACAGATAATCAAAAAGAGCTGGAAAGGACCTTAGGTACCACTTATCCAGCAGTCCCCAAGCTCAGCTGGTTAGAAGCATTTCCCAGGTGCTCCTGTGCTCCTGCGTGCTCATTTCTTTCTCTCTTTCTCTCTCTCTCTTTCTCTCTCTCCATAATAATGAACAAAGCTTCACAGGCTCCACATTCAGGAATTTGGTCAATGTATATTTGGCAAGTATCTTCATCTACCATCTTCATTTTGTTGAGGAGAAACAGAGATGTGTTGACAGTCCCAAAGACAGTGAATTCAGGGCAAAGAAGACCTCTGGCTCAAGAGCTGGATCATGAGGTCAGGAATTAGAAGGTCCCTAGATAAAGATCTCTTCATAGAGTCTCACACACTAGAGTTGAAATAAAAAAAAAAAAGTTTAACTTCACAAAGGTGGAGGTGTTTTGTTTTTGTGCCTTTCGGCAGGGTGGGTCAAGAAAGGGAGGATTTTCATTCACATCTGTTCTCTGAAGTCCTGAAAGTTGTTTGTTTGTTTAACCCTTCTAAACTAATAGAAGGATTAAACCGTTCAAGATACAAAGTTTCATGGATGGGTTTACACCTTTTACCCAAACATCCCCTTGGGACTCCATAAATGGGAAGAAAATTCCCAGAAACCAGTGGTGTTTCTGCACCTCACAGGCAGGATTCCTTTTGGCCAGCCTGGACTAGACACATTATAACCTTAGATGGGTCACAAGTTACTGCTCTCACCAATTCCCACCAGGACTCACTGTATCACTGTTCAGCAGTTATTCAGCTTTGTCACTGTGACAATAAAAGAATGGGGCTAAGTCAGAGCCTGACTCACAACAGGAGTCAAAATAGGAGAACCAGGACTTGTGGACCAGTTCAGCGAGCACTCGAGTCAGTTTAACACAGAGCTGAGCAGGAACTGGAGGGGAAAGGCTGCAGAAGCTGCCCAACGCCTAGCCTGCAGACACCAGTGATGAAGTAACCTGCCTTTTGCTGTTTGCAACACTCATTCGGGACTCAAAATGGTACGATGACTAATCACAAGTGCTTTACCCTGTTACATCATCAATGCTTATCAAAATAAGACTGAGACAAAAGTTTCTGTTGGTTGTCAGCTTCTATGAAAATCCCTTGTAGTTACACTGCTCTGATTCATTCCCCATAATGGACATGTCCTCAGAGGGAAAAGATGAATGTTCTTGAAACCTAAATCAGATAGGTATGAAACTGCTGCAATGCTAACCACCACTGCATTCCTCCAGTCAGTCCCGAGTTACATCTCAAAACCCCAACCATCGAGCATGGGGAATTAACTCTTCCAAGTAGTTCAAGAAAAATCCTCAATGCATATAAAATCAGTGAAAAGGGAAGGAACACAGGAAGGGCAGAAGAACTTGTGACAGCAGTACCAATACATCTGAAAGAGTCACACCCAGCAGCTTGTGAGGCTGGTCTCAGGCACAAGACTATCAGCTGACTGCTGTTCGGTTTTTTCCTCTACCTACTTCATTCAACCTGCCCAACAAGACATTTCCTATTAGGTAGTATCAAAGCAGAATGGTTTTTCACACTATTTCTACCTGCAGAACACAATGAAAAACACTCTTCCCACGCCTACAACCTGAATTGTGCTCTCTTTTTAATGGTCTTTTAGTAGAATCTTCAGAATTCCTTGGTCTGTTACCTTAGCATATCTCTAAACCTGGGACTGCTTTTGCATTTCCTAGTCAGTAATCCTAGCTACTATAAATAAAGGCTGGTAGTAAATTCATAGTCAGCTTTTCTCTAAAGCAGTCCCAGAAGAGAAAATACATTCAGGCACAAGCAACTACCTCCAACAATCTAAAGATCTTCCTTTTTAAATAGAATGAGTTCACTAAAATGTAAGTAATCAGGTACCTACACTCCTTAACCCTACTGCTCCTTTCCATCCTGTGTGTGTGTGTGTGTGTGTGGTTTTGGTGCTGGGAATTGAACCCAGAGCCTTGCACTAGCTCTACCACTAAGCTACACCCCAGCCCCCATCCTGGTGATTCTAAAGCAGTACAGAGAATTTCTTCTGAATTCAAATTTCCAGATATGAAACTGTAACACACAATTGACTCTGAAGTGCTTTGTCTCAGTTCCTCTTTAGTGTGTGAAGGATATACCCTAAAGCCAAGATTACCCCAAGTCTTTTCTTGCCACCAGAGAAAGAATGATTGACAGACGCATCTGCCAAATGTCCCCAGATTTCTCACATATGCAGCCTTCTTAGCTGCTGGGGAAGTCTGAGAACTCTAAAGGTGTTAGTTTTGCTATATGCCAGGTTTTAAGAAAAACTGGAATCAGTTCTTTGAACACCACTACATTATATGCCCAGCATCATATTTCAGAGTTACCAGACTGAACTGAGTTTTAGCAAGGAATTTTTTATTGACAAACCATTTCAGATGTCTCATCAAACTGCGGATTTTTTTTGATGCTGGAACTCTGTGAACTGAACCTAGTATCTGTTCTTAGAGACAGAGGCCAGGAGGAGTAGAAGGAAAGACATGGAAGACAATGTCTATCCCTGAGCCTAATGAGATGATCAAAATGTTTCTTTCTGCACTGCACTGTCTGTTCAACACTGGTGGCCACTGTTGAGTATACCATGTGACTCTACTATATTTGTGGACTTTTTCTCTTTGAAAATCATGAGGAGCAAAACAAAACAAAACAAGAAACAACAAAAAAAACCCCGCTTATCTGTATGTGCAAAAAAGAAGATCTGCAACTATTGACTTAAGATACCTAAGAGCAAAAAGTGAGTTGGAAGTCTCCCTGACTGCCACATGACTCAGGTAAACAGATACCTCGTGAGCACTTTGGAGCCTGATCCTTGGGGTGAAAGCTCCTGCAAATAATTTACTTCTGCCCTTGAAGTTGGCCCAAGACCTAAAAAAATTCTGGAAACACAGCACACTATTGCAAGCAACAAATACATTTTTTAAGATTGTAGAAAAGGCCAACCACCAGTGTGGCTCATGCCCATAATCCTAGTTACTTGGGAAGTTGAAACTGGGAGGATCTTGGTTCAAGGTCAGTCTAGACGAATAGTGCATGAGACTCCATCTTCAAAATAAACAGAGCAAAAATGGACTGGAGGTGTGGCTCAATGATAAAGTGCCTGCTTTGCAAGCGTGAAGCCCTGTGTTCAAACCCCAGCCCCACCAAGAAAAAAAAAAAAAAATCGTAGGAAAGTAAAAGAAAGCAGATGAGGTCTACCAAGGCCACTGGTCTGACCAGAGATGAATCCCAATTAATTTCAAAAAAATAAAATGTAAAAATGATAAAAATTAAAAGGAGAAAGAAAAAAAATGGTAAAAAGAAAAAATTTCAAAAAAAATAGTAACAATAAATTTCAGCACTAGGGATGCAAACCTAAAGGGAGCCAAGATAAAGGGAAAAACAGGCTTGGAAATTTTTTGTTAGGTTAAACTACTGCTTAAATAAAAATAATTAAAATCATATCAAAACATAGCAAGCTCACTGAAAGAGACAAGCATTGGCTCATAGCAAAAACTGCAGAAGTTTAAAAAAAGATTGGTACAGCCCTGCTCATTATTTTAGGTGGATATTCATTGCAGGTAACTACATGGGGATCTAGAATTCTAAAGAATAACAAAAATCAGGAATACAGAAGGTCCTAATACCTTCTTACAATCTCAGAGGAAGAAAGAATTTAGTAAATAATCTGAGCCTACTAAACAGCTAAACAGTTGAGAGTGAGATGAGAAAAGGTGAGAGACTTGCCAATGGGCCCAGGCCCCTGGGCAGCACCAAGTCAGAATCAGGATGGGGTAAGCTGAGCATCTGCATTACTCTCTCCAGCACTCAGCTACTCTTTCTTGATAAGAGAAAGATAAGAACAGAGGTTATACAAGTGAAATCCTTATCTGAACACCCAAATGTATTTTTCTAACGTATAATATTATTTATTGAGTCTTCCTCTACAGACAGATCTCTAATTAAGTGGATAGCATGTGACCCAATGCTTGTGAAGTGACCTCATTCTCCCTACCTCTCCAGCCCACCGGGCTTTTCTCTATAATGGACTATTTTACCTTTTCATTATGTTTCTACTATGACAAAGATTTTTACATGGCAGAAATTAAATTGGATTTTAATTGAACCAATAAACATAAGGGATAAACAGTTTATGAGACGTTAATTTTGATAAAATTTCTGTAGGAAAAAAATCTAAGTGAGTTTAGAAACTTTTTTTTTAATATACTAATCCTCAGAATCAAAGTTAAACCTTTGGCCCTCCTTACTTTCTATTGACATAAGATTTTGGAATAAAATGCACTTCTCAAAGCATTTTTCCTTTTTATTTTTTTTTGATATGTAATAAAACCTTTACAAATAGTGTTTCAGTTAAACTCTACTATTAGTGAAATTAATGAATTATTTCAAATTGGATGAAACAATGTAAAAATCCAGCAAGTATAACTTATTCTTTATAGTCAAGCTCCAGTATAAAATATTCAGGTCATAATACAGATTTTCCAGAGCAACCCTGGGCACTCCCTCTGCACCCTGCCTCCATCAGAAAGGCACAAGCATCCACCCACCAGGCAGACTATGAGCAGGAACTTCTGTCCTGTGCCCTGTCTACTGCTTAAGTAGCTGTGGAGGTACTTCAGAACTGCAACTCTTTTTGCTGATCAATACAAAAGACCTGTCTCTGCATACCACCAATGACCTCATTTCTCCTTACAGGTATTCTAGAAAAACAATATAACTCAAAATTCTTTCAAGTCTCTGAAATAAAAACTAAAGTTTCAAACCTGTTGTCGAATTCCGTGTGATCAGTGCCCTTTCCTACCTCGGCACACTTCTGGATTTTCTTTGTACATAAAAGCGTCTTGTAAATCCTCCCAGCACCAGAAACAGCATCATTCACACATCTGGCTGAACCTTGCCAGCCTCCTGGCCAGGCTGTGGTTTTCGCTGTGCCGCCACACATCTCCTGAATGGTTTAATGTTCTTCCGGTTTATTCTGACCATCGATGTGGACTTGGGCATGAGTCTTGAAGTTTCTTTGCTATTTGAAGGATATTCCACTGTGACCAGCAGTTCTAAGCGATCATTTCATTCTCTATACAGTGAGACAAGCTACTTGGCAACAGCCTACTAATTTCCTCTTTTAGAAGCTTAAAAGAAAAAAAAAAGAAAGAAAGGAACATCCATTCATTATGTAAATGAAACCCACAGATGATTTTGGAAGTAAGATGAAATCTACCAGGTTATAAAACATGCTCTCAGCAGACAAGTACAAATCCCACTTCCTACTTTTGCTCCTAAGCCTGTCCTCTAGTTAGCAAAAGACCAAACACTCAACAGGTTGAGCAGCTGGGACTGACTCACTCCATCTGTGCTCTCCAGCTGGAGATTATGTAGTCATCAATTCAATGGTCACAAGACCTGTTCATATGGCTCTGGGCAAATGCAGTGACTTGCCCTTAGATGCAAGGTTGTTCTAACATTGGCCACATCACCCTCTTAATGGCTCTCATATGAGCAAGTGTCAGCTGACAGGTCTTCCTCTGCAGCCTTGCAAAACACTACCCATACCCACAACGGCTATAATGTAGAACTTAATACACAGAAGGTGACACGAGTGGGGAGCAGGCAGAGTAGGGACATATTTTTGCCTTAATATGAGGAAAAAATTAATATGAAAAAACAGTAATGATAATGAGAGGTCACTGAGTGCACCTTATTCCTGGACTAAGAAAGCCCTCAACCACCAGAACCCAAAAACAAAAGCAGTCTAATTTTGACTTCTGACCCTAACATACTTCACCTGAAAAATGAGGATAATGCTATAGGATTGATATGATGCCGTGGGTTCATGGAGAAAACACTTTGCTTTCAGAAGAAATAACATGATAGGAACCTGGACTTCAGGTCAAATCTGGAAACAAACAAAAACAAACAACCCCCCCACAATTCCTCTTCTTGTCTTGGAACTTGGTTGAAGAAAAGATTAATGGACCCTAAAATCTGATAAATCCTTGGCTGGCTCTTTGGTTTCAGGCAGTTTTAAATTATCTTTATACAGCCATATATGTCACTCCACAAATATGAGAAAAACTAAAGTCGTCAGGGTAGAACCCTCACTTAAGAAATTATTACATATTGTATGTGACTCTGGAATCTCCCTATAATGAACTCAATAAAAGATCTTCAGCGCACTCATCCCTGAGAAACAAGGATTGCAACACACCTGTGACAACAGCCTGGCTTCTTTGTGGCACTTGCTAAGTTGATATTATCAAGATAAAACCAAGCCAGGTGCTGGTGGCTCACACCTGTAATCCTAGCTACTTAGGAGGCAGAGATCAGGAGGATCAAGGTTCAAAGCCAGCCCAGTCAAATAGTTTGCAAGCCTCTATCTCGAAAATACCCAACACACACACACAAAGGGCCCATGGAGTGGCTCAAGTGGTAGAGCACCTGTGTAGCAAGTGTGAAGCTGAGCTTAAATACGAGTACGTATATATATATACACACACACACACACACACACAGAGAGAGAAAAAGAGAGAGGGAAAGAGAGAGTGGGAAGGTAAAACCAGATTACGAGAGAATGAATTCATTTTTCTGGGAAAGGGAACACATTTTGGGGTTTAGACTAACTGCAGAGCCACAAGTCTGGTCTTGGGGGCTCTTCTTTTTTTTCCCCTTGAACCATCTTTAATATAACTTTCTCTTTTAACAGAAAATCAGAGGCTACTTAATGCAAGTACTGTTAAAATGTTTTTAGCTAAAGGCTCAGGGCAGCTCAGAGCAAGGGCTGAAAGCAGCAGCTCACCTAACCAGTGGCCCCATAACGCCCAAATCAGTATTTCCAACCCACGAGCTCAGTCTAAACTCACAGGAGAAATGAAAGGACAGGTTCAATGTTGACAGAGTAGGGGCTTTAAAATGCCAGCCAGATCCTGAATTCTACAAAAGAAGCACCACTTTTTACATGTGAAAAAACTAATCTTAGCTATCTCTAACAGATATTTACCTAGGATCTAATGAAAGGTCTTTATGGTGGTACCAGGATTTGAACTCAGGGCCTCACACTTGCTAGGCAGGTGCTCTACAAGTTGAACCACTCCACAGCCCTTTTTTTGTGTTGTATACTTTTGAGATGGGTTCTTGTGAACTACTTACCTAAGCTGGTTTCCTCCTGATCTCTGCCTCTCTGGTGCCAAGTCCAGCGCCTAGCCCATAAAACTACTTTAAACACTGATTCTGTATATACTTTTACCTAGTAGTTTAATCACAAAACTAATACATGGGGTTTTTTTGCATTATCTGGAGGCTTCAGATAATATTATAAATACATAACCCTTATCTGGGTGATACATCCATTTTAAACAAGAATTTTAAGAGGTAAAAATGACAACATGCTTACAAAGGACATTTGGATAAAACAAGGGTCTAACTGCATTCACAAAGAATTCTCTTAGGGCTGGGGCTTGGGTCAAATGATGGGGTGCTTGTCTAGCAAGAGTGAGGCCCTCAGTTCAAATCCTAGACCACACACACACAAATCTCTTAGACAGGGTTGAGGGTGTAGTACACCGTGGAGCACTTGCCTAGCATGCACAGGCCCTGGGTTTGGCCTCCAGCATCATAAGAACACAACAACAAGGATGCTCTTAAGCAGAAACTAAACTAAACGGGCACAGGAAACTCTATGCCCCTCTGTGCACCTCCTTCCTTCAGCCAGCCAGCCTTCAGTACTTCCTGTGTGCCAGTCATGTTCCTCCCTTAATTCAGTTTGCACACCTTTCAGTTGCCATTTCCTTGGTAAGGTGGTGCTCAAACTTTAGCTTGTAAACACACACTGCTAGGCCTACCCCTAGAGTTTCTGATTCAATAGCTCTGAGGTGGAGTCTGAGAACTCACATTTCCAGTACGTCCCTGGATACTGTTGCCATGAGCTGGGAATTTGTACAATCAGAGAATCACTTCCTTGAGTAAAATTCTACCTGTCCCATGAAGACTTTCTTGATAACCTAGGCTTCTGTTTCTTGAATTCCTCTACAATAATTTTAAGCACATAATTGTTTTATAATAGTAAATGTGTATTATGAGTCTAACTAGGTTAAAAATTCTTTGAGTATAAAAACTGAATCTCAATACTCATCTTTGCACTACACTCAGGTTTTACATATACAGATGCCCAACAGATACTTCCTGATTGACTTAATGGCACTGACTGTGTGCATCTGAACTATGCATATGACTCCACCTGCAACAGTGGAGTTCCTCTGTAACACTCTGGTAAACACACTCTAAGCAGGTGGGAGCCTGTACGCTCCCACTCCACACACCTCCACTCCTTTACCTCAGCAAGGGACCCAGAGGCACTTTAACATCTGTGGTCATGCCAAGCAATTTGACTCAAATGTCCTTACGTTTAAATGAGTCCCAAAATGTCTTCAGTAAATAAAAAACTAATAATAATTGTATCATCAGAACCATTTTTCTGAGATACAAGAGCATCTTATACAATACAGCTAAGAGATCTTCAGGGCCAAAAGTCTGTTCTCTCCCTCAATCAATCTTCCTGTTTTTTAAATCTTTTTTTTTTTGAAATGGAGTCATACACTCACACTGTTATTCATTATCATACCCTATTCTTAAATGTTAAATAATAGGTATGTTGCAATTTTACAGCCCTACACATGACTGAGTTCTTCACTTCCCTCACACAGTTCACCCATGCATTCTGGAAAAGAATCTGTGTTATCCCCTGCTGCACATCTAGAAAAGTGTCTGCAACAATGACTAGACTCCTGCATTCCCCTGCAGTTCCCCACGCTGCCGGAACATGTGCCGATGCACTGCCAGAGCACAGGTGAGCCTCGAAAGGCACCGAGAGGGAAAGCCAGCGAGTGCAGAGCTAGGATGAACCCACATGAGATCTGTAAGGAAGGGAGACTACTAGTCAGTTTGAGTTTATGTCTGTTTGTTTTTGGTGCTGGGCCTTGGGAATGCTAAGCATGCATTCTACCACTGAACTACATCCCCAACCCCTCAGTGTTTTTTTGTTTTATTTTGGTTTTCTGCAGGGGTAGTGGGGTGAGGGGGCTAGGGTTTGAACTCAAGGCTTCGTGTTTGCTAAGCAGGCACTCTACCACTTGAGGTACACCTCCGGCCCTTTTCCTCTGGTTATTTTGGAGATTGGTGGGGGGGTCTCAAGAACTATTTGCCTGGGCTGGCCTCAAACCATAATCCTTCCATTAACCTCTCCGGTAGACTACAAGCTGCTACCCTCTCAGTTTTTAAATTGTAGTTTTCAAGTTGCAATTTCCATTCTCATATCCCAGATACTTAGTCTTACAGAAGAATGCCAAGTTTATGAGGTCAATAAGCAGCATAAGCATCATTTAGATAGCAAATATCTGATAGTCAAGACCCTGCCGAACCTTCAGCCTATGGTCAGAATCTCTGATCAACCAGACACTGTGTTTTGTTGTGCACAGACTCCTTTCCAAAGCTGTCCAATGCTGTGCTCCTGGGACCTACCTCCACTCCAAGACTGGACATTGAAAAATGTCCATTCCCAGGCCTGATTTAGAATTGGGAGAATCAAAGTTAGGAAAATTTCAAGGTAAGTATCAGTACATTTTTGTATTCCCTTCACCTCACATCCTTCAGGTGGTAATAAGCAGCGACCACAGTATGTAATGAAATTTTAACTCAAAAGCCACAATTGAGCCACACTGGGTTTGAAGAAAAAAACTAAGCTCTAATACAGCACCCCCTAAGTCCAGCCTAATTATTCTCATTAAATGAATCCTTGTACAAGGAATCTTTGTCAGCCAATTCACATTGCCTTAATAAGAAAAGGAGAAGAAGAAATGCAGGAGGGGAGGTAGTGGCAGCATTTATGATCCTCCTTTTTATAGGGGTCATTCCCTTTGTTCTATAATGCCTTCTCCATGCCCAAGAAAAACTGATTACAACTCCTTCCATGTGGGATTTTCAGAGTGTGATCCTCAGAAGGATACACAATAAAGTTACCAGATGCTGTTTCTTGATCTCAGTACTGGTGCAGTAAACACTAAGCAAGCAGAGTATGTACACTTTTCGATTTATTACAATTCAGTAAGAAGCTTATTAAAAACAAAAAAGGCCTTCGTGCTAGACTAGAACAAGTGCACTAAGGTCATAGAGTGTGAGAACTTCTCTGGTGCAGTGTGCCTTAGGGGAAAGGACAACGCCAGCTCAGTGTGCAATCAAAAAATGACATGCCTGCCCTGATCCTATCTCAACTCATCTGACAGGCTCAGCACTCAGGAAATTTGGCAATATGTACAACCTCAGTCATACTTACATAGGTAATAGTTAGCTAGATTCATTGAGTGCTTATTACACATGCCAGACATTGTCCTATGTGTTTCTTTTTATCGAGAAGTAGCTAATGTCTTTTTTTTCTAACCACTGAGGAGAATGACACACAGTAGGTGAAGGAATTGGCCTGAGGTATGTGATGTATCAGGTCAGGACCAGGACTTAAATCAGGTCATCCTTGCTCTTGAATGAGCCCACCACTCATCCTCACACTGTTTTGCCAAAACACCCACACCTGGGCCTGGCCTTCTGTGGACAGACTTGAAAAGAGGTTAGGAAGGAGGCCCCTGGACATCATTGACTGATAAAGTAAAATTCTTTCTCCACCATCTTTTTTTTGGGGGGTGATACTGGGGTTTGAACTCAGAGCTTCACGCTTGCTAAGCAGGTATTCTTATCGCTTGAGCCACTCCATCAGTCCTCTCCATCACCTTCAACCCTATGCCACTTAGAATGTTTGGATTTGCTCTCATGTAGTCCTCTGAGGACAAGGCCCCAGTCATGTGCTTTGTGGGTGACTAAGTCTCTTGTCAGACACCTTGTTATGAACCCTGCCCTGCTCTCCTACAAACAATCCTTGTGCAGGAGCCAAGCACACAAACCACCCCACAGGATGCCTGCTCTGCTTTCTACATGACCTGCCCAGCCCAGCCCTTCAGCTAGGGGACAGACTCCTTAGCAGGGATTTCTTTTGCTCCTTTATTAAAAGTCATCCATAAAAGTAACTTAAACATGCACTAAAATTAACCAGCACTACTAACTACAATAGAGATATTAATTTCTTGTTCTTGGCTTTATAAAGCACATGTTATCAAAGGGCATATACAATTCTGAATCCTATTCTTTTTATTCAGCTTTCTTTTTTCCAGTGGGACTTGGGTTTGAACTCAGGGCTCCATGCTTGCAAAACAGAATCTCTACCACTGGAGCCATGCCTCCAGTCCATTTTGCTTTGGTTATTTTGGAGATGGGGTCTTGAGAACTATTTGCCTAGGCTGACCT